TTTAAAAGGACTATAGCTATTGCTTCCATTTTCAGAGTCATTCAGTACGTGCACCCCACTGTGCAAGCACCACTAGTTCCAAAACCTCCCCATTACCCCACAGAAACTCTCTGTCCCCTCACCCAGTCCCTGGTAACTGCTCATCTACCACTGTCTCTATAAATTTACCTATTCTGGATATTCTGTATTCATGGAATCATACACTGTGTGACCCTTTGTGTCTTGCTTATTTCGGTCAGCATAACGTTCTCCCAGTTTGTACGTATTGTAGCATGTATCAGCACTTCATTCCTTATTATGGCTGAATAACATTCCTTTGTATGAACATGGCATGTTTTGTTTATCCACTTAACTGTTCATGGACACTTGGGTTGTGTCCACCTTTTGGCTGTTGTAAATGATGCTGCTATGAACACGGGCATACGACTAAGTGTTGAATTCCTCTTTTGAATTCTTTCAGGCATTAACCTGGTGGTGGGTCATAGGATAATTTTACGTTTAATTTTTTGAGGAACTGCCAAACTGTTTTCTGTAGTGGCTGCACCATTTTACAATCCTACCAGCCAAGTGTGAGGGTGCCAATTTTTCTTTCTTTTCATCAGTCTTTACTCCACTATGGACTTGAGGGCCCTTCACACTATTCTTAAAAGTTTTCTTGAGCCATTCTTTTATTAGTCTTTGGCCTTTAGCTAATGGATTTTAAAAATTAGAATTCAATAGTTTTCTCAAAATTCGCCATGACATGCTGTCTTATAATATTTGGATTTTCATCTCCCACTTCCCCCGTTGATTAGGAGAATGAGCTTTAAAATCCAAGGCCTGGATCTGGATTCCACTCCCTACTTTCCAGGTGTGCATTCCAGCTTCCTCCTTTGTAAACTGGGATGATGTGTGTTTTTGTTTCCTATGGCTGCAGTAACAAATTATCATAAAGTTAGTGGCTTAAAACAAAAGAGTTATTATGACTCTGGTGGTCAAAACTCTGAAATGGGTCTCGTGGTGCTAACACAGAGGGATTAGTGCCAGTTCCCAAAGAAGGAAGGCTCAAAAGAGTATCTGTTTTCTTGCCTTTTCTAGGGGCTGCCATATTCCTCGGCTTATGGCCTCTTTTTCCATCTTCAAAGCCAGCCATGGCCAGTTAAGTCTTTCTCACATCATATCACTCTGACACTGACTCTCCTACCTCCCTCTTCTACCTTTAAGAACCCGGCGATTATATTGGGCAAACCCAGATAATCCAAGATAATCCTGTTATTTTAAGGGCAGCTGGTCAGAGACCTCAGCTCCCCCTTGCCAAGTAACCAACCTATTTACAGGTCCTAAGGGTATGACATGGACATCTCTGGGGGGCCTCATTCTACTTAGCACAGCAATAGCAATACCTTTCTCATAAGGCTGTCTCAAGGATTATCTGTGTTTCTAAATTCTTTCCATTCATCAAGATACATAGTTCTGAAGACTGAGAGTCATCTGAAAGGTCTGTCTCCTCACTTACTCAACAAACACCTCCTGAGTTGAGTTAATGAAATAAAGTACTGAGAGCCTGATACCCAGTAAGCACTCAATAAGTGCTACCCATTATCACTTTATGATACTCCTACTTTAAAATCTCTTTTGGACATGTGGTTGCAGCTGCCAGAATTAACTTCATAGTCTGAATGTTCTGAGATCTGTCTTTCTAAAACCCAGCCAAGCACTGCTTTTCACAAACATCAAGTCCAACACAACTTTCCCATCACCAACCTGTCTTTGTGTTACCACAGAGGTGAAAGAGCACAGCAGTCCCCTGACGGCTTCCCCTACCTGCCAGGAGCCGAAGCACCATGCAGGGCGGGTAAAGAACTCGTGATAGTATGTGGTCCCAATGGGAGCTGAAGCTTCCATCACTGGGTCTGTAACCTATGCCTATGCTCCATCCTTCTCAGCCCCACCTCGCTTAAGGGTCTGCAGCATGACCCCAAAACACCCTGAGCTTGGTGCTCTGCACTTTATCCACACACAAAGCCTTCCAGCAGCAGCCCAAGGCCAGTCACACAGAATCCACGGATTATGAAGAAGGTGAAGGTAGTTTTTCATTAAAGTAGATTTCATCTTCCATCAGAACCACATCTTCCATTGAAGGTGCTCACCTCTACTTCCCATGTCAGTACAGATTCTTCTAACGTCACAGAGAGAGGTGGGAGAACACGAAGCTGGTCAAGACCCCAAGGTTTGTTTCCAAGTGGTAACCCTGATATCACTGATCATTATACCTACTTGGGTTGGATGCAACTATGGTCTTTTATCATACTTGGTTCTCAGCTTTTATGATTTTTTTCTCCTTCCTATCTAACATTGTGCTTCATACACACAGGTTGGGCATGGAGTCTCACAAAAAAAATGCTCTTCTTTCCTGGGGTTGGCTGCACTGGTCCTTGCTGAGCCAGGAGCCCAAATGCCCCTCCATACTGGTATCTTGGTCTCATGGTCAGCGGGCTTGGGGACAGAGCAGCCTCAACACCAAGGTCTTCAGTTCCAGAGCAGCAAGTGGGTCCCGGATCCGGCTGCAGTCCTGAGAGGCTGGTCTGTGCTAGTCGGTGGTCACAAGGGGACTCGGGGGAGCTGGTGCAGCCTTGAGTGGGAACTGCTGAGGGACCGGGCCTGGGAACTCTGCAGGCCCCTTCTCAGTCTCTTTCCTCGATTACAAGAGGAGGCAGGACACCTCGCTGCAGGGATGCACCCTCTTGTGCAGTGTTGTGCATGCACCTCGGTGCATGGGAGGTGGGAGGTCCGGAGACCCTAGCCGATGCAGCAGTCCCTCCCTTCCCAGAGCAGGAGCAGGAGCTCTCCTCTCCACCGCCGCTGGACCAGAGCTCGTCCCCATGTCCCTCCGCCAGGACGATCTCATGCCTGCTGCCCGGCTGTGGTGGGGGCAACTCTCCTTTCTGTTCTCAAAAGGCTGGTCACACCCTCCTATTCATCAGCTCTCAATCACAATTTCCTTCTATCACCTCAGAAACTGTATTTTCTTCTTGGTGTTCTCTCCAGTTCTTTCTTTCATCCATCTAAGGCCGATCCATCCTTGCTAACAACCCAGAGGAAGGAGGGAGAGCCCCCTCTCATCTCCCTCTGGCACAGGAAAGCAGCTCTCACCTGGGCTGACACATAGGGCTGTGGCACAGCCCACAGTCTGTGGGCCCACAACAGCTCTCAGCTTGCTTTCTTGCCCCAAATTCCAGTGCTCAGATCTTCAGATAAGCCCATAATGCTTCCCGGCTCCCTCTGAAAACTCCCCAGCAAAACTGCTAGCAACTGCATGCTTTCTGCACTGTTTATGTTGTTCCTGGGTCAAGGGTGTGCCGGGAAGGCCGGCTCTATCATGCACGCTGGCAGTCCCATCAGCCCACGTGTTTTATTAACTATGTCTTGTCACTACTGTGCCAGGCCAGGTGGCCCGCTGCCTCTGTACCCTCGACAGCATCCGTGCTGTGAGAGGTGGGAAGGCTATCCTACCAGTCTGGCACGTTCCTTTGGCTTGGTCTTAATCGGATTTAGGAATTAAAGGCTATCTATGTTTATTTTATGGTTAAAGAGATTATGAGAAAAACACAACTGTAAATAAATGATGAGCAATTATACTAAAAGTGGCATGACTGAGGTTTAAGTTCAGTTAAGAGCCTCAAAGGAAGAATAAAACACTATGGTCAAAGGAATAAGGCACAGTAAGCGTGAGGGTGAGATGCAGTGAGAGAAATTGAGAGCATTCTTTGCAACCAAGGACAGCTGGGTGTATTTTCACTAAAAGCTCTGTATTTAAAATAGGAATATACACTGATTACACAAATATTATTTGACGAGAGAGTTCAGTTCTGCTATTCTGAAACCACTGAAGAGCTGTAAAATTATGTTTCCTATTTAAGTCAGTTAGAAAAAACAGATACTAACTTCACGAAAACAAGTCTTTAAAAACTATAATCATCAATGTCATTTCGGGTGTTACACAGTATTGTTTACACCAAATTACACACAGGTATGCTGGGCCTCAGTCATTCCACAAGTCTAACTAAAGACTTGTTTAGCAATTTGCATTTGGTATGGATTAGAGATTATTAGCGGGGCCCATTATGGTTTTGTGTATCAGGAGGCAGTAACACAAAATGGTCTTTGTGGCAGGATCTGTGCTCTGGGGCGATGTCTCTAATTCTCCCATTCAAGAGAAACCACTCTCCAGGTCCCAGGTCGGTGGGGAGGGAGGCATTCCTAAAAGGTACAGGGCATCAGGGACACTCAGAGGTCTGGGAGTTGTCACCATGCTGCTGTCAGGCTGCCATGAACGAACTTAGCTACTCAGTCATCAGCACGCCAGCAATAAGAATTCTGATCTATTTGTCACCAGGAGTTTTAATATCAAGGTTATGTGAATTTCAATCACCGTAATTTTCATTTAATGGCACTTTCCAAAAGAGCAATGGAAGAGCTGGAGAAACGCGTGCTCCAGGTGCCAGCAGGCCCAGGCTTTCGAATTGGGGCCTAAAGAGAACCTGTTGGCAAAGGTGTCATTCTGCTCTCCTAAGGAGAGTCAGCAAAGCCAACACCAAAACCAAGTTCAGGCACAGATCTGGTGAGATATTTACAGACCAGAGCATGTAGCCCTTGTGGCCAAAAAAAAAAAAAAAAAAAAAAAAAAAGAAAGAAAGAAAACAAGGTCCAACAAAGCAGGAAAAAAAAAAAAGCAATGTTTTCAATTTTCCATAAAAATATATTTGAGTGTTATTCAATATTGCATTTGTGGTTAGCCTAGAACTCTTACCAAGCCGCTGGGTGCTACCAAGGAGCATTATTTTCTATCAACTTCTCTGGACGATTCTGGTGGGAGTGGGGTGGAAAGAGCCTGGGAAGGTTGCAGGGGCGGGGGGAGTCTGTCTGGCCATTCAAATGGACCCCCCTCCCATCCTCGATAGACCCTCCCTCCCCTCCCACAACAGGCAGGCTGGCGGGGCAGCGCTTTGTCACAGTGGTACCTGCCATTCCTGGTATCGTGCTGCCGCATGTTCTTGATAAAATGAATCTTCTTAAAGTTCTTTGGTCTAGGCGAACCTGAGAGAGTTCGACATCTGAAAAATAAAGTCATTTCAAAAACCCGGTCAGTTGCCTGCAGGACAGCTGAGACATCTCTGCACAAAGACAGGAAGGAAGACCAGACAAATAGTTTGAATCACCCCCAAGGATAATGAGGACAATTCTGCTGGAAGCAAGGAAGCTTTAAAAACAACAACAACAACAACAACAACCCAATGAAAGACAACTTCCTTGATAATCCTGATAGTAATTTATATGGGTCTCTGGAAAGCCAACTAATGAAAACTATCGTCCTCAGTTACGATAACATAACCTACACAGATTCCAAAGTCATTATTCTTTCTTGTCATCTTAAAAAGAATCCTCCTGTATCAACACAGGTAATAGGAACAGAAAATGGTAAATTTAAAGAATTTAGAGGGGGAAGAAAAACATTGGAAAATTCAGCTTAAAAACAACGCCAAATCATTTTTCTTCTGTAGCAAAACTCTGGCCTGGGCCAACTGAACAGCGGCTTCAATGCTGAACTTGACTGTGCCTGGAAGTCACGGCTTTACTCTGAATGAGGTCACAGACCCAGCTAGTGGCTGTTTTCTTTCTTTCTTTTTTCAAGATAAATTGTAAATGAATATTTGTTGAACAAAATGACTTGGATTCCAATTATTTTTTTCCTGGAATATTTGACACTTGCTTGCACTACAGGACTAACAACAGAACAGACCACGGGCTAAGAAGATCTTATTTGTCTACATATTTTTCAAAGTTCACCTGGCAACCGCAACAAGAAAGAGAGCCATTAAAAAAAAAAAAAAAATCAACAAACAGGAGTCTGAAATTTGGTCAGGTCTTGAGAAAGGGAGCTGTGATGTTTCCATTTGGGTTTTTGCTACCAAATTTTTGTCTTACTCAAACCTCTCTGCCCATGGGCCCCAAGGGCTGGCTCCTGCCATGGGGCGTGGGTACCGGGGACCTTATGCTTCAAGAGTGAATTTTGGAGTAGCAGTACCTGGCTTCCCAAAGCCACACTGAGGTCTGGACTGGGGCCATCAGATAAGTTCAGTCAGTTCTGAACTTTGAGGCTTCAGTTAAGGCTAATGAGATGACCCAACAAGGACGTACAGTTGAGGGCAGGGGGCATGTGGGGACCTGCTGGGGTATAGGACTGGGGAACGGGCAAGCTCACAGACCTGTATACCCACTCCAAGGGCCCAGCTCAAGGGAAACTGGAAGCTGTCCCTGGTCCAGACCTTAGGCATACAAGCCTCTAAGCCCCTTTAGCTACCCTCTAGTAAGGGCCAGCCATTCCCTGAGAGTGCTGAGAATGATCCCCCCCCCTCCCCATTTAATTAAACAAAAACATCATACTGAGGTGAATGAGTACAAGCTAAAGCAGAGACATGGGATCAGATATCTGGTAGCTTTCACCAGGAAAACAGGGTTCCCCAGTCCTTGGGTCTACATGAGGCCTCACAAGGCACATGCACTACATCAGGGCAGGGTCCACTACATCAGAGTCCTCTGAGCCCGTGTGACCCCACAAGACACTTCAGAACACAGTCTTCCCTTCTTCTAGCCCCAAACTCACCTCTAAGTCCGCACCCTGACCTATCACTAGTAATATTTCAGATCCCTCTTGGCGTTGTTGTGAGGATTAAATGTTAACAATACATATAAGAGAGTCATCAACTGTCAGGTGACACATCCAAATACAAGCTTTCACATTCATACGTGTGTATACACATGTAAACAGTCGCAGACAAATTTCAGTGCTATGGTTATTAACTGACCATTAGCCACAAAGGATGTATATTTTGTTATTATTTGCTTCCCATATTCTTAAAATTGCAGCTGTGACTAAGGGTCATGAATTCTTGGTTTAAGACAGATTCTTTTAAATACCTGTATCTAGGAGATGCTTCCTGTGGCCTTCAGACAGGGTTTGAATATACAGCATCCATCCATCCCCCTTCCTACTCTAGGGTCCCAAAGTTAGTCTTACTGAGGTTCAAGGCCATATATGAAGCCTCACTCTGCCTTCTTTGCGCAGCTTCCTAGAAGCAGACCCAGGACCCTAAACTGCCTTAGTTCTATCTCCAAAATGACTGTTTAAGGCTGCAGGCCATCCAGGGCCCCCAACTATCTCTCACACACACTGCAGAAGGTTACAGAGACATGTAGCCACTGGAGAGAGGAGAATCTCTGCAAACAGAAGGCTATGCTTCCATTGATTTCTGGACAGGGCCTAAGGGTCCAGGAGTGTCCTCACACCCTTATCCTGCTTCCTCCCAAGAGTCTCCTGAGCCACCCAGATGGAGGGTAGTGGGCCAAGGGGTAGCAGATAGGTACTCCCGCCCCCCACAGCAGGAAGCTGGTACAGATCCCAGCCCAAAGGACAGAAGACTGAGCTTCTCTCTGCCTCCCATGCCTGCAAAAAGAAGAGCTGTTTGTTACCCTTCAGGTTTGTGCACAAAATTCCCTGGCCTTCTGCTAGGAAGTTGGCAAAAGGGCCACAGGTGGCTCTGGCACTCACAGGGGAAGGAGGCGGCACCAGCTAACACTTATTGGTGCAGCAGCCAACACCCATCAACCGAGACAGGCTGGAAAACAGGAGATGGTGGAGGTGGCTGCCACATTTACCACCACTGAACTGAGGTTTTCCTGGTCCCCTGGTAGCAATGTTCCAAGTCCTTAATACTAGGGAACCAGGTAACCACCAGGCAGGTGGAAAACTCCTCAGTCTAAACACTCTGTGAATGCTTACTTCACTCTAGGTAGATGCAGGACACTAACTTATTAGCAAACTGGGATGTGCAAGAGACAAGCAAAGACTTTGAAAAAGATAACCGTATCAGCACCCAATTTTAAGGGCATATGCGATTAATCCAGCCCCTCCTTCAGCAAGTTGTTTGTTGTCTTGCATGTTTTAAAGCAGTCAACTAAGCCACCAGGGAATCTAAGAAATGTTTTAAAAGAGAACTGTGGCATTAGCAACAATTGCCAAGGAAACTGGAAGACCAAGCACTCAGCTTGGTGCAGGTTAAGCAAAGAACGAATTAATTTCACTACCCATTTAAAAACATACATCTTAAGTGATGTAAAATTAAATTAGTATAGAATGAAATTAAAAACTAATTTAATGAAAGATTAGCTTTCTTGTTAGCACTGATTACAGGATACACTTAATTATGCAAAAGATTTTAATAGATGCCTCGCAGCCATTTATTCAATGTGCTGAGTTTAAAAGCCAAGTTGGGCTCATATAATAGCCTTCCGCCCCCACAGTTCCCAAAACATTTCATTGTCATTACTGGTACATTCATTTCACAAAACTGGGAGCTGGAGAGAACCTCAGAGATCAATCTGCCCCTCCCGTTTTATAGATGGGAAAACTGAGGCCCCAGAGAAGCTAAATAAAATGTCCAAGGCCATGCAACCAGTTAGTTAGAAGGATCAGACCAAGAATTCAGGTCCCCTGACTCCTGAACTAACATCCCTCTGCTATCCCATGTCAATTTTATTCCCTAGAAATAAATACATTTGTAAGTTAGTTTTAATTCTAGTAAAGTTAACCTACACTGTTACATTAGCTTCACATGTACAATATACTGATTCAACAATTCCATACCTCACCCAGTGTTCATCGTTTCTAAGTAAATATTAGAACTTTTTTTCTTTAATTTGGAAAAGAAAGGTCTATTAGGGAAAATAAACTTCTCAAACTGCCCAAATCCTTTGGTTTCAGACTTGTTTTTTGAATTTTATATTTACCACAAGCGTTTTTGGAAATTAAGTATAGTATTCTATAAGTAAGAACTGGATGAAGTTATAGTTAAGGCAAATAAGCCCTTTTTAGTGTGCTCAAATGTGGTACAGAGGTGACCAAGTGGCACGTGACCAGAAACAGCAGGTAGTTCCTCCTGGCCCTCCCCCACCCCTGCGTAACCACCTGGAATCCCAGAGGACGGAGTAACATTTTTTACCTGGTTTTCCTTGACTCACAACTATCACACTGCTTTCACCGAGGCTTCTCAGAGACTCTCGAAACACCAAGAGCTCTTCAGTGCTATTCACTGAATTCCCCTTTTGTGGCAGGAGTGACCTTACCTGCCCAAATGCCAAAGCCGCTCAGTGCCTCCTGAGAACCTCTCTCCTCCACTCTCGGGGATTACTCTGGCCCAGAGCCAGCTCCCTAAGTGGACTTCTCATGCAACTTTTTGTAGGGCTACTTCAGGAACAAGCTTCTCCCAACATTTAATAGCGAGGGATAGAAGAACATGTACACCCAAGCCCCATTAATCCCAAAGCCCCACACTCACCCTAAGATGATCCCAGATGTTACGTACTTTTCCACAAACACTTCAAAAGTGGCCCTGACTTTCTCTTTGGGATGACATCACCGGTGAGACTCAGTCACCCAACACTTTGGATCAGCTCCCCCATCTGTCTACGTGCCATATTCCATCCAGGCGGTCTGTGGACAGGACTAACCCGGGAGTGAAGCATCAGGCGGGAAAGGGGCCGGCTCCAGGGTGAGACCCATGCCACCACCTTCCCGGGCGCCCGCACTCCCTAGTGCGGTCAGGGCCCTAAAGCAAAAGGTGGGCCGACGTGGATTCCGGAAGCTGGTGCGAGCCAATGGGATCGCACGTTCTCCCGCGGGCCTCCCTCTGCGCCAGCCGCGCATGCCCTGTGAAGCCTTGGCGCATGCCCTGTGAAGCCACCGGGTCCTATGCTGCCTGACCTCCTTCGGGGGGCAGGAGTACCCCCACAACCAACTCAGATCCACTGCCGCAAGGATGGAAGGAGATGTGCTGTGTGAATACGGTCTTCTCCACTCAAGGAGGGATAGGGAACTAAGACACAGAAGGGGGTCATTGGTAAGGTGCAGGATTAGAGGAAGGAAAGCTGCAGGAGGCATAGCACAGCTCAGCAACTGCTGTCACCCAAGCACAGATGCCTCGCAAGCATCTTTCTAATCCCAATGGAAAAATCACTTTCAGCCCCAAGGAAGCCCCCAGAGCTATCCTAATTGAGTTTCCCCAGCAACTACTGATGGAGTCATATGGTGGGCACCTGCTAATGAAGTCCAGGACTGTGATTACTGTGTGTGTCACTGAACATAAGAAAGCTGAGACAATGATGGGCTTGTCTTCATCAAGCATTAGCTTTCAAATTGAAAAGGAAACAGCACCCAAATCCACATGCAAACTGGGCTTTTCCCATACATAACTGAGACTTTATAGTGCTCTAATGGTCCTCAGGGTTGGGATTTCCAAAGTATGAGTCTGGGGATGAGGCCATTATTTTAGTATATGTGCTGCCGAAGCGAGCACAGAGGCCATTATTTTAAAAATTTAATTCTGGGGGTACCTGGGTGGCTCAGTCAGTTATGTGTCCGACATCAGCTCAGGCCATGATCTCCCGGTTTGTGAGTTCAAGCCCTGCATTGGGCTCTGTGCTGACAGCTTAGAGCCCAGAGCCTGCTTTGGATTCTGTGTCTCCCTCTCTCTCTCTCTCTGCCCCTCCCATGCCCATACTCTATCTCTGTCTCTCAATAATAAATAAACGTTAAAAGATGTTTTAAAAATAAAATAAAATAAAAATTTAATTCTGTAGACATGGACCAAAAAAAAAATCAAACTTTGCCGTATTATACTGCAGGCCATTTACGTGCAACAGTAAAAACTTACCTTCGTAGAGGGGCATTCTCCTCAATATCTTCCAGGGTTTCCAAGGATGATCTCTGGGAAATGAGGCGTCGTCTGCAGAAAGAGGAAAAAACCTAGGAGTTAAAACCGCATTGTAAAATAGAGCAAGAATTTCTGTATATCTGAAACTGTTCTAAAATTTTTTTTTTAAAAGACTGGACAAGAACTGTCTTAAAGAGGCTGCCATGTTCCTAGCCTGGGCCATCTTGCCTTGTTGAATCCGGAGCATTCTCCCTGGTTAATAGAGCCCCTTTGTAATCCTCAGGGAAATGACTGATCCTTTTATGCTACAATTTTCTCAAAAAAAAAGACAAGGTGCCTCTTACAGTATATAACTTGGATACTGTGTGCAGTTTTTCTAAAGCATTAGATAATACTGTTATCTATTCAAATATCAGTGGTCTGAACCAGGTTAACTGATAAATATTCATTTTAAAAATCATATTAAATAAAATATGAAAATCATTAGGATGTGATTTAAAAAAAATTTGTGGTCTCTAGAAGACATTACTCCTTTGGGAGAGTTTCTCAGACACCAAGTAGAAGAGCTATCAGGACATGATTAGGCAAAATATGGACTCTTCCGGGCTCCTAAAGAATTGTAAACCATCTGCTAAAACCTCCTTAATCTAGTTTCTTTTGCCAGATTAAAATAAGAACAGGTCCTAGTTAACTGAGAATACCTGGTATAGGGGCCAGGTTTGCATGGTGGCTGGTACCTTTACAATTAATCCATTTGAACAAAGACCATCATTTCATAGTAAATGATTTGGCTGAGGAGGGTGGATAGAAAAAAATCTGACTGGGTCTTTACCTTGAAAAAAGGGGGACTAAAATGAGAAGGATAAACTCATTTTATACTATATTTTATAAAATTAGGTTAAGAATATGCAACTATAGCCATGTTCTAATTTGTCCTAAGAACAACAAAAAAATGAAACAAATGTTTTAACTTCTGTTTTGTGTTTTCTTTTTCTGACCAACTACCTTTTGCTTTATGTTTTATTTTTAGTAAGACAATCAGAAAGGTCATTTTTGCAAACTGATATTCAAGGGCTTCATCAATTTTTGAAGACCCTTTCTTAATCTTTTGGTATCCAATCCTTTCTAAAACAGTCATCTAGAATAGTCTTTGTTCTTCAATGGTAAACTGGCATTCTCTCAGATCTTCATTGTCAATCTGGGAGTACTAAGAGTACTATAACATTACCTTCAGTGTCTTCATGACACGCTAGACCTTTTGCAAGATCTGCAGTGTCACTCTGCAATTAACTTACAGTGAATTTCCATTTCCATCATATTCCCAGATTTCTAACAGTCAGCCAGGCCTGAGGCAATGATTGTGAGGAGACAACGGTCTTACCTGAGAGGCGTGCACAGGGGCTGAAGGAGATGGGAACTGATTTTATAGCTTACAGGTGGCCAATTCATTAGGAAGTGGGGCTGTTCTGCACAGCTCTGTAACTGCAGGGACTCAGCTACCCCAGGACCCCTGTGACAGCACCTTGCAGCTGTGACTTTGACGTGTCCAGACGAAGCACAGCCCTTCCTGGTGCTAGGTCTGCTTGGTACAGAGTCCCAGGCTGGTACAGTTCAAATGTCCAGTTATATCCCCACACAACACAGCTCTTGGGATCAGGGGCCTTGCATTCCCCATCCAGAGGCAGGTGCAATTTTACAAGGACCATGCACTCTCAGTCAGATGAACTCAGATTTCAGTCCTTGGGCTCAGGGGCTCTGGATATTTAGAAAACTCCTTAATCTTTGGGCCTACGTGAAACAGGACAAGGAAAATAACAGAGTCCCTAGCACAGGACAAAAAGTGATTAGTAGCTACTAGATTTTGATGACACTCCAGTTCCCCTGGACTGAGGCTGTACTCTGACCTGATTTGACACCCCCCCCCAACGCCCTCCCCCCAGCCCAACTGGCTAGGATAAGGCTGGCTATCCTAGCTCTGGTCCCTCCTCCAACCGCAGCCAGTAGCAGGGTCACCCAAAATGCCTTGTGCCTGAGCCTACCCACAGCACATGCTCCTTCAACACCTACGCCCTCTAAGCATAACTACATGCTACCTTTGCCGATGCAATGGTCACCTATCAAATTAGCACCCCCAAACCCCCACACCCCCATCCCCTTCCCGCCTCCATGCACTGTTCTCACTTAACACCAGTGTCTCCTCCACAGCTAGAAGGGAGTCACTGAAGTATTTAGTCTGTTTATCTCTGGATAATGTTCTTTTAAAATCAAAAGTCAAATATTAAGCATGTATACCTAAACTATTATTAGACCTAACTTATCACAAGCAGAAATAAAGGATAGGCTTCAGACGCTGGAAATCTCAACAAATTCTGTTCAACTCTGAGCCTTCTTCTGTGGAATAGCACTTTCAGACGGCCAGTAAATAGACATTTTCATGTTCTGCACAATGTACAACCAGGGTGGGTAACAGAGCAACCTCAAAGCCTCCCCTCCTGCAATAATCCTAACAGAGGTCCACTGAGAAGTTCTGGGGTTGGCTCTCTGAGGAGCAAAGATACAACCCAAGACCCCAGCAAAGGCCAGGTGTGTGCATTTTCTCAGCACACCCTGTGCTGACCCATACCAACTGTGAGCCCGATCTGCGGGGAACACACAGCCGACCCAGGCTGGACTCCTGTCCTCAAGGGGCTCATATTCAAGGGGGAATCCATGGGACTACCTCCAAGGAATTTCATTCATAACCCCCAATCGCCTCCTGCATTTGGGGCTGCCTTGCATGCCCTCCAAGAACAGTGTGGCCAGCACTCCAGCTGCAAATGCCAAGCGAATCCCCTGGTGAACACACGAGGCCCTTACAGGCAGCCTGGGACCTCACAGGCTCTCGTCCAAAATCGAGGCCAGGGTGTTCACCCTGGAAAAATAGGTCCATTCACAAAAAAACACAATTGGATAATTCCTCTGTCAAAAAGCTGCATCCAGCTGTTTCTCCACCAGAAAAGAAAGGTGCTTATTTGAAAAATAACCAAATTCAAATGTATCAAATATATCTTTCTATATATTTATGAGAATTTTTAAAAAGTAATCTGTATGCCCGATGTGGGGCTTGAATTCACAATCCCAAGATCGAGAGTCACATGTTCTACCGAATCAGCCAGCCAGGTGCCCAGGATTTGATACTCTCTTCAGGAGTTGAATGTGGTTAAATTCTCTCTCTCTCTCTCTCTCTCTCTCTCTCTCTCTCTCTCTCACACACACACACACACACACACACACACACACACACACACAAAAACTTAAGGTCTGGATTCCTTAAAGAGAAAAAAATCCCAAACACCAGATACCCACTTATTCCTTTAAATTCAGTGGCTATGATTCCCTTCTTCATGAATGGGACCAAGCAATCTTCACCTGACCCTTGACCACCACAGGACTGACTGTGCTGGCCCACCGACACATGAATTTTCTTTGAGAAGTACAGAATGGTACTGTAAGTGTAATTTCTCTTCCTTACGGTTGTAACATTTTCTCTTCTCTAGCGTCCTTTATTATAAGAATTCAGTATATAATGCATATAGCATACAAAATATGTGTTAACTATTTGTTATCAGTAAGGCTTCCAGTCACCAGTAGGCTATTAGTGGTTTTGGCGGAGTAAAAAATAACATACAAATCTTCCACTGTGCACAGGGGTGGGGGTGGGGGTGGGGGGGCAAAGCCCCAACTCCCATGTTGTTTAGGGTCAACTGTATTTTTTTTTTTCTTGAGAGAGAGAGCGCATGCAGGTGAGGGGGAAGGGCATAAGGCAGGGGGGGGGGGGAGTAGAGGGAGAGAGAGAAGGGAAGGATCTTAAGCAGACTCTGCACTGACCCTGGGATCATGACCTGAGCAGAAATCAAGAGTTGATGCTCAACCAACTGAGCCACCAGGCGCCCTAGGGTCACCTGTATTCTTTGAGATGGACACACAGAGTTTGCAAAGAACATTAGCATCAAAAGGCACCATGAAAACACAGACACAGTGCCCGCCCTTCCCACATAAAATAAGTCTTTGTTCACGGCTACAGCGGCATGCCCTGTGGTGTTAACCCAGCGGTGCTCATCTCCTTACCACTTGCTAGATCCTTCCAAGGTATGTAATAACTTCCCCCTTTGCTTTCTATCCTCAGAAAGTCTGAAATGGAAAAGAAGGCTTAGGGAAGGTGGCCAAGCTTCACCAGGTACTTTTCACCCTGCAATCTGCCTCTAAAACTAAGTCCATTACTATGCAAACTCCTCCTCATCAGGCACAGTTAACATAGGTCTTCGCAGGTTTTAATGACTGACAAAGAATACTCAGCCTTCTTATTAAGCAAGCAGACATTAAGTAAGAGCCCGAGCATTACATGTGGACCTGACCGAATAGGAAGAGTTCATGACTGGTCCTCAGAGTGAGTCCTCAGAACTCAGGGTTCCCCTCCCTGTCGCTTTGGGCCGTAAACACTTTTGAAGCCAACGTGGCTCACATTCAATGTACACTATACACACCAGCCTCCCTAAAGCTCCCAGTATCTTTTGAATGCTGGACTCTGTCTAGATAAGGAAATGCTAATCCATGACAAGACTGCCTATCTGGCTACACCTACTTGAACCAAATTAATCCACTTATCATTAGGGCTGATGTTCACTGCAGAGCAAGTCACTGTGTGCACCCGGGGTCCACGGCTGGTTATAATAAATCCACTTACACTAAAAACTTAAGGAAAGGTCACTGGGAGAAGAGAGGGGGGAAAAAAAAATCACACAGAACAAGTGACTAGACTAACAGGGAAATGGACCAGGGAAGACCTAGGGCCAGGATTTTGAAAGTGCTTTTTAGGCACGGAAGTGTCACTAGCTCCATTTTCAGGATGGGAGCAATGACTGACTACCCACACAAACTGATGGGGTGGGGCAAGTAGGCCCGGCCATCCCTATTGTCGGCCAGTCAGCAGTGATTCTGGGGACCCCAGGAGAGTAAAGGGCAAGGTGGGAGCCATGCCTGGGGCATCTTCATCAGATGGGCCACCTCTTAGTATAGTAAGCAGAGTTTCAGAG